GTTCACTCCAGTCAGTTGAAGAGAAGATAACACGGAGAAATGCGAATCATTCGCTCCACCGACACTTGGTGGTACTGTAATGTCGTCTCGAGACCTCAGTGTTGTGCCCCGCGCGCGATGTGGGCGGGGTGACCTACTTTCGACCGAAGCGCGCAACGGACGTTCTCCGGACTACTCTGGCTCGCGACAGGGACAAATGGAGACGTTATTGGATCCCGCTCGTGAAAATAAAAAAAAGGTAACGGGACAGCAGGACATAGGCGGCACGGAATCTAAATTTTGAATGAACAAGGCTATATGCTGCTTTTATTTCCAATATATTAAAATCCCTCAAGCAAGAATTATGGCAAAACAACGGTTTGCCACGGATTAGTCGACCTTAAATTGCCGCTTGGACAAAATCGTTTGAAATCATAGATGCATACAAGTCAATAACAGTAATGTAGTGTACGAGATGAAGCTGTGATCAGGACTAAATCAGGAAAAAGAAAGGAATGAAGTTTAGTGTCGCAAAATACCTACTGTTCTTGAATTTACCTCCTGTCACTCACTCGTTACTTAAAGCTTGTTGGTTAGAGTAAAGTAGTTGTAATGATTATTCAAACCGTTCCTGTAGATCTAATTCTTATCAGCCGACTAAATAAACAATAACAAAAAAGAAGAGGCCAAACAAAGGTCAAGCAAATGTCTGGGTATCGCAAAGAGACAGTCTAGCAGAGACAGACTCTGTTCTTTGGTACAGTAGACGTCAGATAACCGATCAGTCTATCAATTATCGATGGAAAAAATGTCAAACCGGATTGCACTTTAAGGCGATTGCTGTTTAATTGCGAACGACAACAGATGAGTTGGGGAGTAGGGTAAAACTCCCGATTTTCAAAATCAGGGATTCCTTCGTTTTTGATGACCTCTGATGGATAAGAAAGAATAAGCACAACTAAATTCTTCGAAAGAGGAAAACTGATGAAAAATGGGTTGCTGATACAATTTTAGGTATACGCCACGCATGTGACTTTCACTCAAGATCGTGGACGGGGATGTTGCCTTGTCAAAGGTCCAGGTTATTGAGGCCCACGCGAGATCAGTTCTAATCGAATCCACTTGAACTTAACCAAAAAAAGCTTTCTGACGGAATTTATGGGATTTGAGCCATGATTGCTACCTGAACTACTGGTATTGTCTCTAGTTGCAGCTGCTCCTTTTGCACATTTTCTATGACAAGTCATCCATCACCTATCGCCCTGTTGATCATCGATTTTCTCGAGCGGGCGCCAGTAACGCCTCCATTCGTCCCTCTCGTGAGCAAAGGTGGTCCAGTGGATTGTCCTCACTAGAGGGACACGCGGCAGATATTTCTCTCGTACAGAGGTTCCGCGTAAAGATCCGACCATCAGACTGGCGGCCGTTCTGGTGGTTGTTTGACGTTCCGAAGGATCCAGTCAGTAAACGCCCTGGTCCAACGGCTATCACTATTATGCTATGCCAAGTATGCAAGAAATATATGAATGGACGACAAGGTAGAGGCCTACTTCTGTACTGAAGCTTCATTAGCTTGAAGACGCCTTGGAACAATCGAAGACGAATTGGTTGCTTTCTAATGTGACTCTTTTCTGCCTTCTAAGCATCGTGGTCCTTTGGGATACGCCAAAAGTGCAATTGATGGGCAGTAAGATGGACGAAACTGACGATGAACCATGGGAATCGATCTTCAAAGGCTGCCTCCCAATTACTTCAGAAGAATGGGTATCTCGTCCATCTTTGAGATTTTCAACATTCAGTAACATGTTATCAGTAACGACGACACCTTTGTCTCGACGGGAGCTTATCAGAGGGGAAGAGAGAGCTGGGAGTGGGTGTGATACGAGGTACAAACGATGGGGTCAAGAAAAACGACAGTGACGCCTTGTCGGACCAAAAATAGAAACGAAAGAAGTGGCAGGAAAGTCAGGATAGCTTGAAATGATCAGTTCTTTGAGAGATTGTAAAATGGTTACTGGATAGTCCCAAAGAGTTGGGGCCGTTGAGTGCAGAATGTAAGACGGAGGAGTCTGCCGCTTCGTGCAAAACACTTGATAAATGTGACATCTACGGGCCAGCGATAACGGCCAGCAATGATGTCTTTCCTTGTCAGAACCGAACTTGGGACAAAACGAATGAAAACTTCGGGCGTAGTCACCAGGAAACCACGGCTGAAAATATTTTGCGAGAGATGATTGTCATGGATTGGAATGCTAATGTTAAGGGAGGTACGCAATGGGAGAGTATGTTGCTGAAGAGGGCACAGGTTGCCCATCCGCCCCACCCATGTCATTCACATTCGATTGGCGTGTAGGACGAATAAATGAGCATCTTCCACTTGCTAGCCTATTACATATGCATTCCAGCCAACACAATTACTGCGGTTCCTCCCATGAAAACAGGAAAAAATTTAATTGGTCTCTCAAGCAATTCTACCCAAGTCCAGTGTCGAAGTCAGAAATGACCGTTTCGGCCAAAGGCACGCCCGAACTGCGAAATAGTCCCGGCACAAAAGGGATCACAACGAAAGGCAAATGACAATGAAGCAAAATGCACTTTCGTATGCTGATTACGAATTAGTTGAAGACAAAAAAGCATATAGAAGACTTGGATACCCAATTCGCCATCAGCTGGAAAAAAAAACCACTACTGCGCTTTTTCAGGACACCCGAACAAAGTGGAACAAGCTAGACATCGTGGCAGTTTTCTCTAGGATAAAGTCTTGGGGCCTGAGGGATGCACTCCCGCATAAGACTTCTATACAGAATCTTAGTGGCGTATTGTATGCGTATATGGCCATACAATGACTTGCGGTGACCAGCCGATGTACAAGTCAGTGCTTTTATCCTCCCAGAAGGGCCTGGTACTGGCCTAGCCGACCCCGAAAGGATGGAAGGTTGGCTGGCCTAGGCGATACCGATCCGGGGTTAGAACCCGTGACCGTGGATTGGCGTGAAGTGCGCCACTTGCCCCTACACCACCTCCTCCCATCTAGGATTTGCCACGCAATCCACTACCGTAGTAAAAATCGCGTGCGACATACGAATACATACACGTTTGGATGTACAATGAACCATGAAGGTGCCTTTGCTCAATACAACGTCCAAGCCTACGGGCTGCCCGAACGGCGGAATAGCCCTGGAACGAACGGGTTCACAGTGAAAGGCATCCGACAATGAAGCAAAATGCCCCTTACCCTGCTGGTTAAGAACAGGTGAAGAACAACAAGAAGCATCCGGAGGTGTTAGACGCCCAAATCACTATCATCTAGGAAAATCACTTTCGCTCTTTTTCAGATACTCGAACGGAGTGGGACAAGCTAACCATCGTGAACATCTCTTAAGGATACGTGACACAATCCAATGCCGTAGTCAAAATGGCGTCCGACACACAAATACCTAGTCGTTTATTGTTAGATGACACAATGAACCGTAAGGGTCGCCTCTACTAAGCACAGCGTACAAGACCCGTGTGGTAGCCAGTTCACCAGTTCAAACTAAAGAACCTGTCCCCTAGTCGAAAGTTCATCCATAAGCGGCCTATTCTTCCATGGAGAAGGGAGGATTGATGGAAGTTCAACAACAATGGAGAGATGAAATCCGGTAAAAGGCTTGGAAGACAGGGTTGCCTAGCCAATACCCATCAGTTCTTTCTTCGTTTCAATTCTCCGTTTCATGGCAACCACCACGATTAACGTAAGAATTACCAAGCTTTTTCTCATTTCTATGGAAATGACGACTAATTAAATTGTCGACCTGACTGCTCAAGATCCCGGAGAACAAGCCTTACTCCTGACGTTTCTTATTCTACTGAAGCGTCAGTATGACGAGTTTTTCCTTTACAGCACTTTTTAAATCAATATAGTACAAATGATAGCTTCTATGAGGTAATCGATTCCTTATCTTAGACAAACAGGAAGGTGTTACTCCTTGTGTTTTTCCAAATATTTGTCACCATCAACAAAACTATTTCGAGCACGAAATTATGAATCAGAAGAAAGGGTTCAAACAGCCGTGTCGGCTTGAGAGAAATTAATATCATGTTCTAGCTGGGCAATAATATTGTTATAACAACGAAAACATAAGAATAACAGAGACGACCAGTCAGTGCTCCTCCGGGCCTTCCGGAATAATGACTGACATACCGCTGTAATTATGTGTAACACATGCAAAGACTCTTGAAAAACAGATAAATTGATTTATACGATCCCGTAAAAATAATCACAAATCCTCTATAAAAACAACACATGACATTGGAAAGCATTACAGTAACAATTACAAGGTAATTCACGACTCACTGAGCTCTCGAACTTCCGCTGTTATCTGGGAAAACATTGGTACATCAGTGTCTCCAAAAGCCGAAGGGAACAAACAACCAATAAATAAATAAATACTTATGACATCTTCTAACGGTTTACAACTCTCCTTTACGATCAATCTTCATCAGTTCTACGTCAAATTTCAGTGGAGCATTGGCTGAAAAGATATTGTACTGAATGACGAGTCAACAAATGCACTTTCTCCATTCACAGATGAAATATAAAACCCTAGGAAACGTTAAGCATTAACCGAATTGATTGAAGTGAATCTGCAGGCAGCCTATTCTATGAAATCGCTTCAGGCGCACAGGAAAAAGAGGACCTAACAAGAAAAATTTCTACTTTTCCTAGAAAAGGTAATCATTTCGTGGTGCCCTATCTTTCACATTACCCAGCGATGACATAGAAAGCTTTGGGAACACAAAAGAAGTCTTGACATAAACCCTTGTGAAGGGCGCTCAGGAAAGATTCAGTAGTGGAAAACATGGAATTTGGGAAACCTCGAGCAGTGTGTTATCTCAACGGAAGGAGGGCCAGACTAGTGCCGAAAGCAAAGCATTTCACAACCACCTCATGCCAATTGTTTCAAAAAAACAACGAGCTGCGCCCGTTTTGTTGGGCGAGGTAATTGTGCTATCAAGCGTGGACCTGAATACGGAAGCTTGCTAAAACTAGGCCGTGTCGCATGCAGCAACTCGGCTAGCCGTCTCAGGATTCCTCATCCTATCTAGGTCAGAAATGAAGGGCTCATTCAGAACTGATTGTGATTACAGCGCGCACAGACTTAAATTTTCATGAGGATGTAATAAGAAAATGATGGAAACGCTAGAACGAGATAATCAACAGGATTGGTGAAGTAGTTGCAGTGATTGATGGAATCTCTGAACTCAAGAAAATGCCTAGATATTTCCAGTCGCCAAAACGCTTTTAGAACATCTTAACGTCCCTCTACGAACGCATGGGAGCAAAAGCACCAGATTGCTGCTTGCTTAGACCTGACATCGAATAGACGAAGATGTTAATAAGAAAGTCGCCTAGTAACAAATTGTCAAAGTTAATGAATATAGGTGTAAATTTTAATATCTCACTCTAAACCTGTCAGTGACGGGCTCAGAGTGAGTTATACTGAGGCCGAGGGGAAAAGTCAAAGAGCTCTACCCTCTTTGAGATTTCCATTCTCAAATCCAAGAAAGGCGATACCGACGACAGTGCAGTACTCAATTTGCGAGGAGGGGCAAGCATTCCATGGCGACAGCATTTTGGTAATCATTAACAGAACTCTTATCAATCAATGAAATCACACCTGGGATTTTCGGTGGAGAACCACGCTCTCCGTATGCCATATGGGAAGGGATGGTGAGGATCCGACGTTCTCCAACGCACATATTCAGAAGTCCTTGATCCCATCCCTTAATCACCTGAAAGCAAATCAAATAGAAGCCTCAGAAATCTATGACAGGATAGTTCTTTTGCCAAGCTCAGCAAAAATGTAGAATTGAAAACTAAATCTTTAGGGGCAAAGAAGATATTGCCAACACTTCCTGATGGACGGCTTATTCGAAACTGTAAATAATACATTCTTGTTCTTCAGGCTTGAGATTTCGATGCCTATTATTTTAGTACTATTTATAAGTGCTCTCCTAGGCCGAAGTCATTAATTTACGTCGATTTATTAAATTTCTCTTCTGCGCTTTCATATGGTGCAATCAAGCTGTTCCCTCATTGACAAGCCAAATGTTTGTTTACACAGACCTGCAACGCTTCCCAGTCTTCCCAGTGTAGCCACATCATAAGCCAAACACTGAAGCTGGCTAACCACAGCTCTGTGGGCTCAGTCTCCAACTCAAAAAGGGGAGACACGCAGTTTTTCATGCCACAAGTTCGGATATAGAGAGGTCATACTGAATGGATGCGCACTTCTCGGACATTGCTGTATTCTCTGGGCATCTAGTAGGCACCAAGACGAGGAATTAGTACTACAAATTATTGAAATCGGTTAACGAAGAAATCGGGGAACATAAAGTAAAAAGTAAAAGGTGGGAATCGATATTGGAAGCAAGTGGAACAGCAAAGATATACAAATATCAATAAGCATATTGACGAAGCACTTTCAGAAGCATGCTTTCGTTGCCATGGTTGTGGAGTGCTTTGAGCATTACGCTTTCGCTTTTTCCATGCTTATAAAATAAAACAGACTCATAACAACAACAGTACGGCGGATCGAGTTAAGACCCAAGAAAGAAACTGGCAACTGTTCAAAATTATTGAAAAGCAATGAAAACAGTTTGGGAGATCAGCGCGAATCGATCTTCGAGAGGCAGACTACTTGTTCAATTTATGTCCAATCTAAGAAAAAAGCAGAATGAATGCATGCAACATACCTGTCCCATACCCAATGTAAAGGTGAACTCTTGATTTCGTGTACGGCTAGAATCAAACTCGGTGCCATCGAGAAGGGTACCGGTGTAGTGCATATGCAATACATCGCCTTTCCTATAGTATGATGCAATCAAAAAGAAGTTATGAGCTATCAAAAAGTCTACAGCTACGCAATTCTCCTCCACTAAAAGTTTGAAGGAGCTCACCTTGACTTCATTTNAACTCTTGATTTCGTGTACGGCTAGAATCAAATTCAGTGCCATCGAGAAGCGTGCCGGTGTAGTGCATATGCAACACATCTCCTTTCCTATAGTGTAACGCAATAAAAAAGGAAATATGCAATTACAGCCGAGCCACTGTTTAGTGCACAATTCCCTTCACTTCAAATACAACAGAGCTTACCTTGACTTCATTTCGCATGACTCTGCTCTTTTCTTTATACCAATTTGGAGTTTGTCGATTTTCTTCTCTTGAGCAAATGTACAGACTATAAGGGCAACGGCGAGAAAAACGCAGCTAGGTTGCATGGCACAGACCGACTTGGAAATTGACAAGAAGCCATATCAAAAATACGCTCCAGCTTGATAACGTCACATTGATAATCAAGAAGTTCTGCCCGCGACCAACGTATCGCAGACCTCTACTGTAGAGCCTGATGTCTGTATTTGCAGTATTTGCGGATACGGTATTAGCGGGAGCCTTTACTTTCGGTTACTTACTAGTTATTCGGAACTTTGACGATCCCTTAAGCGTAGAGTTCACGTCAAATGAAGGTCGTGTGCTTCATGAGAAGAATTAAGGTTCTGAAGAAAGGACCACTTCCCAGAACCGCTAAGCGTTGGAAGGTTTTCCTGCTTTTTCGGCGATTGGTTCCCTTTTCAACAGATGTGTCGAGATCTCAGCGAGCAATGCCCTTATTCATGTGTGTCCCTTCGCCTTACGAGAGCTTTCAGCAGATTCTGATGCTCAGCGATTCGCTAGTAATGCGACAAACCTTCTTATGTATGAGGAGACTCAGACAAAGAGGAACTAACAAAGTGATAAGCAACGAGCAACTATAAGTTTTGGGAGTCTTGAGTCTGTAGCTGCTCCTCCACTATCGGTTGCAATGTGAACCACTGAATTTAGCCTTCGAAGGTGATAGTACAAGGGATTTAAGGAAGAGGCAGCCAGCACTTGTGGGCGACTGATAGTTTCGTGACATGGCGAATAGAAACTACCCTTGTTTGGTTCAGTGGCCCTTAACACCCAGAGATATCGAATATCATGGAGGTGGCTGTGAAGACATCCTCCCATTAAAATGGAAGGGTATGCTTTTGCTGCTAATCCAGTCTCTGGCAGAATCGTAGTGGAATTGTGGATGCGTATGGGACCGTCAATGTACACGTCAGTCCATTTATCCATCCAAACGTCACTGGTGCTAATTATCTGATCCCGGCGAAATGGAAGGCCTGGTCGGCTTAGGCGAGAATCGGCTTGATTTGCCTATGGGAGAATTTATGAGAGTTCAGCCACAGGACCTGCCTGTGTGTTGGTGTGTGTGTCGACACCTGCCGCTACATTGCCTCCGTCATTTTCTATTATAAAATGTGTACTAAAAACTGAAATACTCCGTTAACTTTCAAGAATTTTCACCGGACAGACGAAATGCTCCTAAAAATGAAGGTGTTCTGGAGATCGAATTTACGTGATTAGTACGATTTATCCACAGGTAAGTAAACAGACTAAGTGAACAAAGATATCATATTATGTAAAGCATTTGTACAAGTAATTGCGAGTCATGAGAAAAATGTGAAACGAAAACTTCACTTTCCAAAATTTCAGGAAGTTCTTCACAATTCATACAACATAACAAAAAGGTACCAAATTAAAAATGGCACTAAACATCGAGATGCTCGAGATTCAGAGTACCGGGGGAAACCTACAAGCCAGACCTGGGAATGATGCACAAAAAAATGTTGTAAATGTACACAAATTTCTTTTTGCCATCTACTATATCAATATGTATCTGGAAAAGTCAACATTCCCAGAAGGCTCCGCCACCGCTTAACTACAATCATTACCTCCCCAAACTAACGCACTAAAGGTGGAGATAAGCATAATATGCAAATTTATCGAAGGAAGCCTATATCACTTACTTCAAGCAGCAAAACAGTAAAACCTATTCTGCTTCGGAAAACAACATTTCCACTGAATGAGATATTAAGAAAAACGCCCATTGTCTACTTTTGAACAATAAAATATATGTCCCAACGGTTCAGCAGCTACCGTTTCAAGTGATATAAGCCATAACATTTGAATTCAACTTCCCCCTTTTATTTGACTATGCCTTTATAGCCTTTCGTCAAGCGGACATATGATTTTCTGATGATTCTGATTTTATATGTGAATTTGGAACAGCTGGAATTCATCTTCAACATAGAGCTCGAAGGCAAAATTTCAGGCAATTAGTCACAAAATAGAGTTTTTCCCACTGCAAGGTGTTTAAGAGTACTTCCAATAAAATTACGATGAACTATTTGGTTGGCTTAGAGGGTTCCTTAGCTTTTTCAGTCACGTGTTGAGGAGGGTGCTTGGCCTTTTCAGTCACGGGTGAAGAGGGCTGCTTGGCTTTTTCAGTCCCGAGTGGAGGCGTCGCAGATGGTTCCACCTTCGACTTCCATTCTTCTAGTTTCACTTTGTACTCCTCGAGTAACTTTGCAGCTTTCTTGACATATGGCTTAAAAAACAAATCAATTAAGCTCAGGCATGACCTCTGTGGACAATCAACACTCACCTCTCTTGCAGTCTCACTCATTCCCTTCCATTCGGCACTAACTCGTGGCATGACTTTAACGACGGGCACAATCGGTTCACCTTGTGCTTTAAGCTTGTTATATCTCTCCTGCACATAGAGATTATAGGCTGTTGGAGGCTTTTCAGGGTGTCCTGTCTTCTCCCAGTTCTACAATAAAAGCAACTTTTACGCGAAAGGATCAAAGTCCCATAAACACTGCACGAACATCTGTGGTGGCGTGGCTGATGTTCCCCGGGCGTACCTCCTTCCTCTCCTTGCGACTCTTCTTTTTAAGTTTGTCCTCCTTTGCCTGCAGTGATGAAGCAATCAACTCCTTTTTCTCTTCATCTGAAAGAGCTTCGAACTCCTTGATTTTCTGTTCTCGGTAGCGCTTAGAAAGTTCCTCATATTTCTGAAAATTACTTGAATTACAAGAAATACAAAAGCTCATTACTTTTCTTGCCCCGGTATAAGAAGAATTTAAGTTACTTTTCTCGAAGCTTCGTCGAGGGACCTCCATGCCGCACCAGCTTCTTTCATCGTATTCTTTCCCTCCACTAAATCCTTTGGGCGATGTTTTGCGAAGTGTTCTTTTACAAATATTGCACATGGTCCCATAGTCATACCAGTAACAGGATACTTGTACTCCTTCTCCCTGAACAATGTCCAATTAGTTGGATCAGTAGAAGCAATAGTAAAAGTTAGAAAAAAGTGTTTTTAATCAAAAATTCAGCTTAGATTTTTTTCAAGGACGATTTTTCACAAAGACACTACTTGAACATAGCAGCTATCTCAGTATGAGTGCATACTAGCCCTCAGAAAAACAAATTACAAATTGAAATTGCAAAAAAAAGAAATTCCATTCGAAACTAAGTATTCTTCATCCCCACAAAACCATAACCATGCTTTCTGAATTTCGCCACGATCTCCACAAATTTACAGCTTCTTAACTTTCTTTTTCGAAGTTTACTCAGTTAGGTCAGTAGTTTTCACTTCATCATTCAATGCTTTCCAATTTTCTTAGGATTCCATAAATAGGCGATTAAGAAACTCGGGTACTAAAGGTCAGGAAATCAGGAGCAAAGCGCTGACTGGAAAGGAAATAAATAGAGATTGACATATCAAATTCCGCGAGGCGAAAAAATGAATTCAGTTAGGCGAATGTAGGAAAACCTTTGTGTTTGACTTACTTAGTCGTCGCTTTCACACTAGCTAGTAGCCTTCTATTGAATAACAAGAGTACTCGTGAATTCAGCATCTAAATATAAATTTTGAGACCCTTCTAAAACACTTCATTATGAAGAATGTAAGAGAAACTTGAGCTGTACTTCGAGCAAGCTTCACCTACAGCTAAGGGATGTGTTCAAAGCAAAAACGGCGAAGCAACGGTAACTGCTGACATGAAATCAACGATCAAAGCTCTAAGAGAGCGTCGTAAAGCTCGAAAAGCATTTTAGAGGAATTTCAACACATTTTGAAATCGCTAAAATTTACGGTAGCTGATCATGATGACGATTAACAAGTAGCAAGTGTGCATTACGGACAGCTTCTTCCACTTGACGCGAGAAGCTGTCGCAAAGAAGCTGAAGGTGTTACGCTCTCTTTTCAAAGCCTTTTTCTATTCATTCATAAAATTTCGGCCATCTGTACAGTGAGAAGTTCACCATGGGGATTGTCGATGGAGTCAAGGAATTTATAGTAGGGGTTGTGCAGTTGTTTCAGAGTTGGTTTGATGTTTCAGATGTAGGCCGGCAAAGTGACTCTGACGCTTGGCCTGTTCATCCTTCAGCAACTATGGAGGGATCTCTGTGTGGCGCCGTCTTTGTTGTTATATTTCACTTATCGATGTGTCTAGTTTTAGACGATTGAGTCATAAAAGAGCCCGTCGGTTTAAACAACCCTTTTTTGACTTGCCCTATAATGTTTAAGTGACTAGGGCTTTTGGGCTAAGTCTCATTGATTCGAACGCAATCTTCGACCTACATACCCATTCTTAGCTCCATCAGACCAGGTTACGTTTGTCAGAAGACTGCATTCTGGCGGTAATTCAGCGATATCTTAAGTGGGGTCAGCTTATAGAGTGTCAAGACTTTCTTAACTTCAATTCTAAGATGTTCCGTCTCGAATTCAATTAGGATGCCATCAAGTGAGGTATCAAACAGCTCAAAAATTGACCACCGAAATACGTCATGCTGATGCAATAATTGCGTCACGTTCGCCCATCGTTTTCCCACGACGTCTTCCAATTTTCAACGTCCTTCATTCAGCGCTGCATTTCATACCTCTTGGTTGCTTCTTTTCCTATCTGAGATTTTCCAATACTGCCACTTCGAGTCATTTCTTTTCATCACTTGCTCCATTTTCTCGAAAACTTCATCGATTTAATATATATTTCAGGTAATTCAATATGAGTGGGCTGGATACAGTTCCAGACACTATAAATTTTCCAAAGGAGGAAGAAAAAACATTAGAGTATTGGAATGAAAACAAAGTCTTCGAGAAGTCGCTAACGTGAGTTATGCTTTGTGAATCTCGTAGCAGCCGTAACAGCCGAATTCATCCGGTTAGCAGTTGGTAGACACCGGCATTTCCAAGTAGAACTCATTTTCATTTTCTTCCTTGATCGTTTAAGCCTTCGAGAATGGCGATCTCTTCAAAAAACCATATCATAAGTAAGTTATCGTCTGAGTCGTTAGTAAGGTGTTCTATAAGGTACTCTCTGGCAGTATCTTGGCACAGCACCTCTGAGAGGTTCTTCTTTTTTGCAAATGACACCATTCTGATGCAGGTTGGCCAAGGATCGACCACGCTTCACATTCTTTGATGGACCTCCATTCGCAACTGGATTGCCTCACTATGGTCATATTTTGGCTGGCACCATCAAGGTAGGATCATGAAGAAGTAGTTCTGCCCCGTAGTTTCCTCAATCATTCGATCTCTTATTTTTTAGGATGTAGTGACAAGATGGGCGCACCAAAATGGTTTCTTTGTTGAACGCCGTTTCGGATGGGACACACATGGTCTACCTGTGGTAAGAAATCCCGATGACCTAAAAACCGTTTATCGTGTCAACAAACCGAGCACTTGATAATCAGCTGGGAGTTTTCACCTTCCATATCCATCTTTCAGGAATATGAAGTTGACAAGACGCTAGGTGTGAAAGGCCCTAGTGATATATACGCTATGGGAATTGACAAATATAATGCAGAATGCAGAAGCATCGTAATGAGATATTCCCATGTGAGTTTTTCGCGGAATATCTTTATATCTTTTTTTTATTTCAGTCTTCTCCCATATTCTATAATAGCCATGTATATCAGCAGAAGCCATACTGTTTTGGTGCGCGTTGAGTAATTGCGGGTTTCTGGAATGGCTGTACTGCGTCCCTATTGAAGATGATTGACATTCTTTCTTGTCTTGTAGGAATGGGAGGTGACGGTGGCTCGTATGGGACGTTGGATCGATTTCCGCAACGACTATAAAACCCTGTATCCATGGTTCATGGAAAGTGTCTGGTGGGCTTTCAGTGAACTTGTCAAGAAAGGTCTCGTCTACAGAGGAGTGAAGGTACGATTGCATCGCAGTCAGTGTTTACTCCAAGAACCCTCCAACCAGTGACTCTTCGAACTTCGTTAAGGTTATGCCATTTTCAACGGCTTGCAACACTCCGCTTTCAAACTTCGAAGCTGGACAGAATTACAAGGATGTCGTCGATCCTGCGGGTAGGTTCGCATACAGGAAGCAACTTTATTTTAATGATTGCTTTCAGTTCAGAATAGATGCGTTTGGTATTTCTCGTCCAATGTCATTCGTTAGGGAGGGTAGACAGACGTTACAGGGTGTTATTACAGTGTGCATTGGTTTCCGCCTTGATGAGAATCCCAATCGCATGATGGTGGCCTGGACAACCACTCCATGGACATTGCCCAGCAATTTAGCCCTCTGTGTACATCCGGACCTAGACTACGTGGTTGTCAAAGGTGAGACGTTTTTTCGTTTTATATTTTCCCAGTTCTCTTGTTTTCCCCGATCCAGAGCGATTAGCATTCAATGAAATGCATTACCTTTACAAATTCTATTTAGATCCTGTGAGTGGGTCAGAATACGTCGTGCTAGAGGAACGCTTGTTTGAGTTGAAAAATGATAAGCTGGAGGTTCTGGAGAAGGTCAGTTTTTCACAGGTTTTTCAAGGGAATAGTTCATAAAAATTANATGAAAGCTGAAATGGGAGCATTCCGTGTACTCTGCAATACTTTTGTCACCACTGATCAGGGTACTGGTATTGTACATCAAGCTCCATACTTTGGAGAAGTGAGTGCTTTGTATAAGAATTCAATAACCTATCGATTGATAGCCCATTTTATGAGGTTTTGGTTCTGTATGGTGCTCAATGTCGGGTACTTATCGATGTTCTTTGTACTTTAATCCGCTTTCAGATTGATTACCAAACCTGCCTTGAAAATGGAATAATCACTAAGGACATGAAAATCATTTGCCCTGTGGATGAAAGTGGGCGGTGAGTACAACTCAGTAAATGTTTTTGATAGTTCTTTCAGTGTAGTGCTACAATTTGAGATTCACTGCGGAAGTGAGCGATTTCGCCGGCTTGTATGTGAAGGATGCCGATAAAGCGATTTGTAAGAAGTTGAAGGAAAGCGGCAATCTTATCAAGCAGGGAGAGGTACTGACTTCATCCTTTCGCAGTTTGCTTTGCCAATTTAGGGATTTTCAGGTGAAACACTCTTATCCATTCTGTTGGCGATCGGACACCCCACTCTTGTATAAAGCTGTTCCATCGTGGTTCATTCGTGTAGAACAAATTGTGCCCAAACTTCTTGCAAACAATGAACAAACTTACTGGTGAGATATCATCGATGAGGATTTAGCGATTGGAAGAAAATGCTATTCAGAGAGTAGACATTGTAGTTAGTGGATCTGTTTTTGACAACAGTTTGGTAGGCTCGAATCAAAATCTGACATTTATCTCCGATCCAGTTGGTCAGATTTCAATGCTGCCCTTTTTGAGCTTTTCAGTCTCTATGAAAATTGTTTTGCAGGGTTCCGAATTTCGTGAAAGAAAAACGGTTCGCGAACTGGTTACGAGATGCGAGAGATTGGGCCGTATCGCGTAACCGCTTCTGGGGAACACCAATTAATTTGTGGGTCAGCGACGATTTGGAAGAGGTTGTTTGCCCATCGAGTATTGCCGAACTCGAACGGCTCACAGGCACTAAAATAACCGATATTCATAGAGAGAGGTAGAGTTGTGTAATTCTCAGACTTCCTTCACAAATACATTCTTTTGTTCCAGCGTCGATCACCTCACTATTCCCTCTAAGACTGGTCGTGGAGTTCTTAAACGAGTCAGCGAGGTAAATCGTGGTGGATCTATTCCTTATGGAGTTTATCAATTCAGTGGTTTGTTCTTTTTGATGAACTGCTTATCCGTTGCAGGTATTTGACTGCTGGTTTGAGTCTGGTTCCATGCCGTACGCTCAAAACCATTATCCCTTCGAAAACAAGAAAGTATTTGAAGACAACTTCCCCGCTGATTTCATTGCTGAAGGAATTGATCAGACCCGAGGATGGTTCTATACACTTCTCGTCCTCTCCACAGCGCTGTTCAACAAGCCACCTTTCAAGGTTCTCCTCTCAATTCATTTTTCACTGAGGACAGTGAGACTGGGTACTTTCAGAATCTCATTTGCAATGGACTTGTCCTTGCTTCTGATGGTAGCAAAATGTCTAAGCGTAAGAAGAATTATCCAGATCCAGTGGAAGTGGTGGAGAAATATGGTGCCGACGCACTCCGTCTGTATCTCATCAATTCACCTGTAGTACGGGGAGAAAACCTGCGCTTCAGGTATGCTACACTTACCAGGGTGATACAACCTCAGTGGCAGTGCCTACAAAATTAGTGTTTCATATTCGGTGCATCGTTATTTATTTTTTTCAAGATTTTCGGATGTGTGCGGATATTTCTTGAAAAGTTTCCGTTTGTGCTTACAGGGAGGAAGGAGTGCGTGACCTACTGAAGGATGTTTTTCTACCTTGGTTCAATGCCTACAGATTTTTCGCGCAGAACGCTCAACTTTACGAACATGTAGGTTCTTACTCATAGAACGTCTCGAAAATTTCGGGTTGAATAGGAGCCTAGATATTAGGAGATTTTTAGTTTAACGGTGGTTAGTATTTATCACAGCTTATTTTGAGTCTTCGGAATGGCTTCAAATCAATAGTTTCATGCCGGATGAGGGAAAAAATTATTCAACTAGCTTTTTTGAGAATACTTAGTCAAACGACAATTAACCATTTTCGTTTAAGGACACCGGCAAAGTGTTCTCGATGAAAGAAGTGAAAAGCGAAAATGTGATGGATAGGTGGATTGAGTCATTCACCAATACCTTGGTGCAATTTGTTCGCAAAGAGATGGCTGAGTAAGTTTCAGACAGTGGTTAAACCGTACTGGAATTTTTTCTGGAATCGAGACCTTCCTACACTGATTCTTCTTTTTGATTCGCAATCAATATCCTTTTAGATATCGACTGTATGCTGTAGTGAATCCACTGACACGGTTCTTCGATACACTGACTAATTGCTATATTCGTTTGAATAGAAGGAGAATCAAGGAAAGTAGCACGTGTTTGATTAAACGTTGAGTAGAATGGCCAACAAGTATTTCTAGTTGACACCTTTTAGGGGGAGTTCGGTCCAGATGACCAGACACATGCACTTTCTGCTCTTGGGCGTGTACTCATCATTATTGTCCGACTCATGGCACCTTTCACTCCATTTTTCTGCGAATACGTCTGGAAGAATTTACGCAAGGTGCGTTGAGGGGTTACCATAATGTTTCTATTCTGATGTATTTTAATTTCAGGTGACCGGAGCTCCTGAGGAGTCCGTTCATTACACCTTGCTTCCAACTTGTGATGAAAGCCTAATAGACACGACAGTCGAGAGGAGGGTACAAGCGATGCGCGACTGCATTGACCTCGTCAGAGTGTTGAGAGAACGAAAAGCGATACCTGTCAAGGTTTGCTACCAGTTTAGTATTTGAAAACTTCTTTGTTGACAGTTAGCACCTCCAAGTTAGCATAAGATCGGTCGGGTTAGCAATATTTGGTACTTGCCGAATTACCTGCTTTCTTGTGTTGTGAGTTAGTGACTCCATAATAATTATCTGTATATTGCAGTATCCGCTCAAAGAAATGATTGTGGTGAATCGAGATGGTCAATTTTTGGAAGATCTTAAAAGCCTTGAGCACTATATCTTGTCGGAAGTGAATATACGCAAGCTTACAGTTTCCCAGGACAAGCATAAGTACGGCATCACCTTGAAGGTATGGACTGAGAATGGCGTTGTACTACTTATCCTGCTGGGATCTTGATGCAGTTCTCCGTGTGTTTTCTATCGTTCCACTTCGAGGTAATTTTTCAGGCTGACCCGAACTTCAAAATGCTTGGAGCGCGATTAAAGGGTGACCAGAAGAAGGTGGTGGATTACCTCAAAACTCAGGTCACTGAGAGCGAGTTAGAGCAGTTCCTGGCAGAAGGTAAGCAATTCCGCCCATTGAAGTTTTGAATATGGATTTCGTAAGAAATGCAGTTGATGAATAATTTTCACATGGCTTTTCGGTAAAGGGGCATTAAACTACACATTTGACTTTAATTTTGACTTTAACTTTTATAATTCGATCTTCAACAAAAGGAAACTCAGAAATTCTTTTGAGGAAAACTGACTGTTTGCGGTCACGAACTTTCATCGGAGGAGGTCAGCGTCAGTTACACGAGCGCTCAGAGTGGTAAGAGCGATTCCGGCTACGAGACACATTCGGATGGAAAGGTATGATGTGATGCCTTTCGAATTTATCTTACTTTTACACCGTTTTTTTCATTTGAATTCTTAAGTAATCATTACTTTCTATTTCACGTTTGAAATGACTTACGTTATCCAAAAAGAGACTGAGAGAAATTAAGAATTAAGAAATTTCATGTTACAGACGATTGTGATGCTTGATGTTTCGGAAGACTCGTCCCTAGTTGAAGAAGGCCTTGCTAGAGAGATTACAAATCGAGTTCAGAAGCTTAGAAAAGCAGTGAGCTCTTATTTTATTTCAAATGAGGCAATGTTCCCAGTTCCCAAAACGACCCAGGGCGATTTCAGGCAAAACTCGTCTCCACGGATTCGGCTGTGGTTTACTGTGTTGTTGAGCCTAAAACCAGCCAGCTAGCGGCAGTCGTCACATCTCACAAGGATAAGATTGAAGAGGTTACAGGTAAGGATAATCGTCTTTTTCGGAAAGTTGATATATTTATTTTGATCGAGAGTGAAGACATCGAAAGACCTTATATTATTCATTTTCTTCTTTTCGTTTTTTGTTTCGCTTGTTACTCTTGTGAACTCATGGTTTCTAGGGACACCACTGCGGTTAGAGCAGTTGCCTACAGGCAAACGAGCCACTGTTTCCAACATCAGTACTGTCAAAGATGCGGAAGTTTCGGTATGAATATTTATGCTTATCCAAACCGTGGAGTATATCGGTGTTTGATCAAAAGAACCGCGAATTCTTGAAAATTCCTTTTCCTCGATTCTCTTTTTTATCGATCAATACCAGTCTGTAAGTTATAATACTATTACTATTTAGCACAAGTAAAATATCTATATATCCAAATTAGTTCACTTGGACGCATCAGAACGAGCGATTCAGTATCGTAGTTCGAAGAGCCTAAATTTGAAGACAGCTGGTTCCTCAGAAATTTCAAAATAATTATTGAATTAATTTTTAGCAAGCGCAATGTTACCAGTTTTGGTGATTAGTCACTTTCGATTTTTTTAAGCTGTATCGAAAGTGACCTATCACAGCCGTAGATCCGAACCTAATGTCAAGTTCAAGTTTTTGCCATTGACGGCATTTAGTTTTTCACGTTTTGAGTTTCGGTTTGACCAGAACTCTTCTTCAGTACTTAAAAGCCACCGAACTAGATTACGCTTTTCTTTAACATTTATGCGTGATTACCTTTATAGCCTCAAAATGGAAATATCGAAAACTTGTTGATCAAGTTTTTGTCTTCAGCTATGGCTAATTGCGGATGCTGTCACAGACACTGTTACAGTCGGTCTCAACGGGAAAACTATTCGTATCCGTTTGAAATCAAGCACAGATAGAGTGCTAAGTTACAGCGACCTGCTTTATGAGGTATAATTTTCGACTACAATTAGAATTTTAATCAGTTCTATTTTATAATTTCCATATGTCTAATTTTATAATTTCCGTATGTCTAATTTGCATCGTATGATTCCCTCAATTGTTTCGTTTTAATGGCTGAGGAGAGGGCCTCTGAAATTATTACGGCTTTAGAATTCCCATTTTTCGAGATGCTGTTGTTGTATTCTTAGCAAAGATAGATATTGAAAGCGCAGTGCGTGCTTGAGCAAAACATTTTCATAATGGAATGCCGAGAGGACATAATGTTTCAGATTCGGTCAGCATTGGATTTGTGGAAGGGTAAAGTGTGGCTCATTCTTGCTGACGGAACCCGTTTCCACCCTACGACTCCTGTTGAGGAGTTAAGCGGTCAGTCTGTGACCATCCAAACATAGAACGGTTTTTATTTAAATCTAACTTGTTACCCTGTTACCCGGATTGTTTTTGGGTCATCCTTCGCAAGTGGTCTTAGTTTTATTTGTCTAAACGGTCTCTCCATAGGTGATCCACTTTCTCACAATTGCATCTGTTATTGCAACCTTTCTGGTCTGTTTTTGTTTTGTTTGCATAGTTTTCTTTCTTGTTGGATAGATTTAGCCGAAAAATGATTCAAAGAAAATTTCTAAATGAATCATGATTGTTTTAGATGATGGTTTTTGTTTTTGCTTGGTTACCAGTTACAGTGATTAAATCGTTTAAATATCATCGTTCCAAAAACTCTTTTCTTCCCATGTTCTTGCATTCCTCGTCATTAAAAGGGCAGGTGAGGATGGTAATGGGAATTGGTTTTCGTGCATTATCTTTGCGTACGTGAGCGGCTGAGCGGCTATACAGCTGATTTAGGAAATTTTCGTTAGTTTTCGTACCATTTAATCTTTTGAATTCGACAGCATATGTGAACATTGAACAAGGAAGAGGCATACTTAGGCCCTATATTGGGCTCGTATTGAGTCTCTGGGCAAGTGGGCAAGCAGAAATGTTTAAGCAGCATGGCCGCAATGGACTGCAGTGTTAACCAAAGGATGGGAACGTTAGGGAATGGAGAAATTGCTAATAACGTCAGTAGTCAGAGAAAAACGGCTTTACGTCAACATAAGGGAAGAGACAGATAGCTGTATTTGTGAGTTAAAGGCACAGCTCACGATTTCTTGAGTTAAAGGGTTTTCGGACGAGTTCTTCAAATGCGCACGCCATTTCTAACAGCTGGCTGCAATACGCTGCCTGCGTGCAAGGTGTTGGTCCTGGTGCGAATGGTGCAACCTCTACAGCTTCCACAACGCTTAACAACTCATTTGCTTCAGGTGTGTACGTCACTAAGCCGGTTTTGGGTTGTTATTACGCCCTCTCTTGAGTGTTTTTCGATCCCCCAGTGTTTCCTAGGGTGTCCTTGGGGGTCACAGGTTAATCCTAGAAGGAAATCTCAAGGACCATCGTTAACGCGAGCTGCGCCTTTAAGACGAAATTGTACTGACAATGACACCTTGGTCCAACGCCCACGAAAAAACAGCATAAACTCATAGAGCATCGTTTGTTCTAGTGTATCGTCTTCAAAGTCTGGAAGCAAATCCAAGCACAGAACAGAATGAGGTACTACGGGACGAGCAATAAAAAAGTGTGTTCTACAGTGGCAGGAGTTTATATGCTTCCGGAGCAATCCTTTTCTGAAGAGCAAGAACAATGAAATCAAGGTAAGAGTTCACTCGTCGAAGAGGAATGTTTCAAGCTAAAAATACAGGTCTGGAGAGTGGGGGAGATCGAAAGGACGAGCGGAATAGCTCGAGGAATTATGTTACTATGGAACTAGACTATGCTAGAACTATAGTGTATTCTTGACCGTCTAGTTGAATTCGAAAAGCTTTTAAGTAATAATTTTTTTGGAAATACTTTTTTTTCAGGTTTTGAGACGCTTAATCGCTACAGTATCCTTTGAGCAGTAACGTACTTTCCCTGTCGCTAGAGCTCAGGACTGCAAGAGGTCATAATTTTGTGATGCCGTAACCTTTCCACTGTTATGCTCTTCTTTTCTAAAATTATTCCTTTCTAACCCCCACACACACTTAGAATGTACCAAGATGGGAATCGTGAAGGAAGGGTCTCGAGAAATTAGCTGATTGTTTCAAGCGGAAATCACACGTCTGGGACGCGAGTTCCTTAAAGACGACGAGTTAGTCGTCGACCAAATAAAGCGGTCTCTACCATAACAAACCTGTAAGGCAGAAAAGTGTAAAACATTCAGCTGATTGCATTTTTCTAGAATGTTGTTCTATTGTAAATGATGCGGGTGCATAGGTGGCGCGCACTCTACAAGATCGTTGAGCCCGTCCAATTCGGGGTGTGGTCACCAGCACTACCCCTTATTGCGCCCTACTTAGAACATTTTCCGACAAACAACGCCCGTGTGGGGCCGAAAATCCTTCTCTGCAGGAAAACTTGAGAATCACTCCATCACAAACTGTGTCTTCAAATCTGGTTCTTTCAAGTTATGCACAATTTTTCAGTCACGATCTAATACCCATACCTTATCTTGATTGACAGATTCAGTGGAACCGCAGATCCATAAATTCTTCTTCCGAAGGACGACAGTGATGGGAAATGTAACGATAAGGAAAGAATCTGACACAATGAGGCTGCTGTGCTGTTGGTCTTTCGACGTATTCTGTCCGCACCTCGTTCGATCCTTTATGCCTTGAAAGGATGAAGGGTCAAGTCTTGGGCGTCAATCAATCCCGTTTGAGGGATGCGCCCACGTATTCAACTTTCATTCAGAATCGTGGTGTCGTATGTGGCCTGTACAATGGCTTATGGTGGTCAGCCGATGTACAAATCGTGCTTTTATCCTCCCAGACGAATCTGGTACCAATTAACCGACTCCAGAGGGATGAAAGGCTTGGTTAACCTAGGCGAGTCAGTCCGGGTTGCGAACTCGTTACCGTGCGTGTGCGGTACTGCGCCACTTGCCATTACACCATCTCCGCCCCGTTTGTAGTTAAGAAGCCATTATGAGTGTTCCATCCTTCTGTTGTCATGTACAGATCACTCTGGAAGTCATGGTAGTAGAAAATGCCTTTTGATGACTGGCAACCGCTGAACTTCTGTCAGCTTTCCAGTTTTTGACACTAGGGTTTCCCTTGTCCACGTGGCTACTTATTTCTCCCAAATCAACTAGACAACTGCTGGATTACATAGATTTTTATCGTGTTTCCCATCAATAATTCAACAGCTCAGTAGATAGGTTGCCCTTATCAGTCATGGGTGCCAAGATCATTGAGCAAACGAAAATCGAGTTCGCTACGTCCTGTTATCACAGGGTGTGTACACAGGAGCAGTAAACTGGTCACGAAGGACCTTAAAGAGTTGCTTTGTACGTTCCTAGAATAGCTCTTGGCACGGAACGGAATAACTCGTGGTGTGATCCAATGTACTTTGACGATTATTCAGTGGATCATTCACTGTACTTATTGATTAGTTACCAACTGATTGATGGAATACGAAATTCTACAAGTTGGGCAGTTCAGGCGAAAGAACAGATTATTTCAACTGTGAGAGATACTCGGGTGCATGTTTCATTCGGTGTAGAAGTGCCCTTTACGGTATATGGGTTACGCACGCTAACGTGTGCATTATATGTCGGCAACCGCTTATCTACGATGGAGTCTTTCAACGGAATGTCGGATTATCAGAATAAGATGGAATTCATTGTGGTTAGCCGTAACTCCTTCTACCTCAGTGCGGACCCTTCCCACTATAAAAACATGACCACCCCTTTTTTTACCTGCTCCTAACCATTTTTTCCGCTTTCTAGAAAGTTTTTGAAGGGATGAATTTTTGCTTTTTTTCCTGTGCCGGCTCCGCCTACCACATTTGTTCCATTACCTCTAACCACTTTTCCCGCGTTCTAGAACGTTTTTGAACAGAGTCATGAAATTTTATCTAACCCGCCCACTTTAGTGCCAACCCGCCCACTCAGAGGATTTGGCCCCATTTGTTTCAATACCTCTAACCACTTTTTCCCGCATTCTGGAACGTCTACGAATGAAGTTACATTCATTCTTGAAAAGTAGCTTTCATCACAACTCACGCTCCGCCCATCGTGGGCGGGGCTCCGCTAAGCTTACGCATGCCCAGCACTCATGAGGCCTTGCTCATTCTTTTTATTCTTTTTACTGGTCTCGACGCCTTCGTTGAATCGAGTCATGAATCTCTGTGGAAAGTACCGCCCACTGCGAGAGCGTTCCGCCCAACGCTGGTAAGTTCCCTTTTTTTATTGTTGACTGGATTCAAAGATTCTAGGGGCCCAAAGATTGTATCGACTGTATGTCACACCTATAGGCGGACGAGTGGCGATATGAATGTTGCACCATTCACAAGAAACACTCATTCTGAAATCCGAACAACTGTTCGTGATCCTTGGCGATGGTAGAGGGCAGTTTCAGATATGGGCTTGATAGGGTCACCTCCTAACGCAACTGCGACGAGTGAAATCTCGTCCAAGTACCCCTTATTTCCGTCATGGTAATCTCGCTCGCTACTTCTCATCATTACTTCCGCTTTCACTTTAAAAAGGGTATATCGATGATATCGTAAATTATGCCTGAAAGAGGGTCAGCTACCGCAAGTGGACGAATTACCGTACACCTGTGGCGTTTTCGTGGTAGGAGCGCTACCATATATCCGTCATATTAGCCCTTTATTTTTTGGTCATTGAAATCCTGCAGAGACATGTACAATCATGGTTGGTGGCAATCTGAAACGGATAGCAAAAGTTGCAAGGGCTCAGTTTTTAAATTGACATGCTCTATTTTTTTAGTAAGCTTTTGTTCCTTAATTTTGAATCTTGTTTATTTCGAAAGTAGGTAAAATTCGACTTGTACTTATTTGTAAGGAAAAAAAATAAGCCTCGAACATTAACCGATTTCGTCTTTAGCCCCGCCTTCAAATACACCTAGAGTCATAGTGGCGGTTTTGAATGCGATATTCCGCCAATACAGTAGATTACGGTAAACAGGCGAAGTGCAGGTCAGCGGCTTCAAATTTTTGCAAGAGTAGGTTGATCGATGTTGATTGGAGTAGATATCCACTAGGGATTTGATCTCGTGACCACGCGTATGCGATAGTGCATCAATTGCCGCAACGCCATCTCGACCCTACCCCACTTTTAGGGTTATGAAAAAATTCTTTGCTAAAATATCTAACTACCGTAAATGCTAAATATCGTGTAAGCTGTTATAAGTTTGTTTGCTCCATTGATCAGGGAGGTATTAAGATGTGGGAGGAAAATCTGCTTAGTCATTACGCCGTATTATGAAAATGAATCACTGTCAGTAGCTTGCGAAACATATATGAAAAACACTCTCTTTGAAAGTAATTTAAGTGACTGTGTACAAAGTGACAATG